ATAAAAATGCGTGATTTAATGGGCAAAAAGATAATTTAATTTAAAATAAGCATAGTTTGAAATTAGCTGTATATGTATGTACAGCCCTAACCAAAAGTATTAGGCACCCCACTAATTACCAATTTTTTTGTTTTAACAAGTGAAGTAATGTAGTTTTAATATTTAATAGGTCCACCCTTCGATTTAATAACGGCAGCAGTTCTCTTAGGCATGCTGCGTACAAGCTTTTAACAGTGGGTACCACCCCAGTGTGGATGATATTCTTCCCAGGTGTTCCAAATCCTTTTAAAACTGCTTCTAGATGTCTTCTTCTACCTGTTCGAGCACTAACTGGTTTACCAAAATCATCCGAAAGTGCAGCTGCAAGGGCAGAAGAAGATGTTTTGCGATCTTTGAGAGACTCGCGTGTAAGTATTCGGTCTTCTCGTTTACTGGTAAAACGCTTTCTTCTACTTTTTGATTTATTTTTGTGGGATTTCGTCTCCACAAATCGCCTGATAGCACATTGAACCCACCAAAGTGACAATCTCAACCTGAAACTTATCTTCTTCACTTAGAACTTGAATTCTAACTCTATCATTGTAACTAATTTCACTTTTATTAGGCTTTTCGGTAAATATGAACTGTTTTTATGAGGTTGATAACTTTACACTAACTGTAATTTTCGCTTTCAATTTCAAATTTTAAATGCGAAAATATTTTATGAATTTTTTAAAAATGACAATTTTTAGGTTTAGCTTACCCAGAGTGCTATGACTTTTAATATTACACAATTTATTGGTTTAATCAGCAGTTAAGCACCCATGCAAGACATTAACAAAAAGAAGTGGTAAACTTGGTAGACACATTTGAGAATACTTCTATTTTAGTGGGCTGCCTATTCTTTTGGCCAAGGCTGTATATGCAGCGCAAACAAATTTCGAAAGTAGTTATTCGAAAACTTCTTTCTCATATATAATAAACTTTTTTTTTTTTTGCAAATTGCTATACATAGAGAATAACTCACATACATACATATAAGCCATCCACGTCCACACTCTGTCAGCCTCATATTGTATACAGAAGGAGTTTTGACTTTTTGCCCCATTAGTAAACGCGCTGCTGACTGAAACAAAAATATTTGTATGATATGTGTATGTATGTACATCTGTATGTATACTCAACATATTGATAAGTTTTTTAAACTAGAAATTTGATAAATTTTGCCAATTGCAAAAGGCAGAGACTTGCTTTTTAGCGAATTTCCTTCACCAAATGGGAAACACTAACACATGCAAAACTAGCCCTAAACTCATTTACAAAAACAAAAAAAAAAACAACAAAAAGCACTGTAAATAAAGTGGAAAAATTTAATAGCTCTACACTTTATGCAAATGCATGATTGAGATATGAAATTGAAAGTTCAAAAAAAAAAAAAAAAAAAAAATTGCGAAATGTGTACACGTGTGCTGAGGCAAAGGGAAAAAACTGCAGTTGGAGACAATGTTTGTTTTGTGCCAGACAAATGTGGCCATTTGTTATCTAAGCCTTTTGCCTTCTCAGTTGTGGTGGCCAACAACTGTTTGTCATACAAAGTGAAGAGTTTGAAAGGAGAGAAAGAATCAAAAGTATGACCTTTCAATATTACGTTGTGTGTGGAACGAAAATATCGCAAAAAATTTTATCATCATATTTGATATTCTTGTAGCGAATGGAAGATACAAACTGAGTTACGGCTGTCTACTCAATAAGTTGAACAGCCGCTATTATGCGTTGTAGACGAAGAGTACTTTTAGTTGTACATCTATACAAATAAGCATACATAAATGATGGCGAAATCCTTGATAGTTAAATTTAAACAAATTCAGTACAATAGTTCGTAATGTAAATCAAAAATAGTTTGCGAAAATGAAAAGTTGTTTTTTTTTATTAAGCTAAGAAATGTATACCCGTTCTCTTCTTAATAATTTGTACCCTCAATTTTAGGTTATATGGTCTGACCGGACTAAAATTAATCGTTTCCAATCATATTTTGCGAATTAACAAGTTAAGTCATCTTCGTAAAATAAGGTAAATACTAAAAATGTTTGCAGACATAAACCCTATAGAAAAAGTACTGTGACACATCCGTGCTTTTTAAATTTGCCAGCTCGTCGAATTTAGCAGACAAGTTTTGTCAACAAACTAACCTTCGGAGAAGTGGGAATATATACGATATATGTAAGAGAAGATGTGCGTACAATATGTATATATGCGGCCAATAGAAACAACTAAGCCATTTTTGTTGAAAATTTCCAGATAACTTTATATAAGACCGGAGAGTATTCCTGTAAGGTTTGGATGTTTTAGAAAGTTGCCGCATATAAGAATAATAAAATTCCAAAACAAATCCTGCTTAATGTTCGATTTACTTGGAATTTGGTACAGAAGCACTTCATTAGAAGGAACCCTTTGCATGATGGTAAAAAGACCTAGGAGCAGTCATTCTGTACTTAATTAGACAGTGATTACTTTTTTGTACGAAATGGTACTTATTAGCTTTCTGCTGAGATTATCACGAACATTACTGGAATACGGAACAAAGATTCATTTACGTGAATAAAATTGTAGCTTTTTGCTTAAATTTTAATTGGGGACCACTTTTTCTTAAGGAAAATTTTTTTCGTTTACTCTAGTGGGTAATGGGCATACTCAAGCCGTACAAGCCGTACACTGTGCTGCTGTGGAGCAGAGTATCGAAGAAGACCCGAGTGACTTTATTGGAGCTGTTCCCAACCACTTTATGGCAAATATTGCGGAAATGTCTTCGTTTGCGGTCTTACAAAATCCAACTCAAACCGAATGGACATAAAGAGCTTCACACGTTTGGTGAATGAGCCCAAAACCAGATGGTCACCGATCCCTATTTTTTTTCAAAAAATTTCGTTCATCGATGAAGCTGCATTGGGTTCAATAACAGACAAAAAAAATTGTGGTGTTTGAAGATAATTCTCAAGCCATTGTTGAGATGCCTTCACATTCTCAAAACTTCTTTGTTTGATGTGCTTTATGGGCAGAGGAAGAGACCTATTCTGCGCGCTTGATAAATTCACCATCTTGCTTATTTGTCAAGATTTTTCGATTCTGTGTCATTAATAAAAAGCTCTTTTCTTGACAAATTATCAAGATGTCAATTGCTCTTGACAGTTTTTTTTTTTACAAATAAAACATCTTTTTACTGCATTTGCATAGTTGTGAACAACAAATTGCCAGAAAGGAAGATACATATTTTACTTATATTGTATTGCTGTTGTTGGGCGAAGGGGAAAATTGCGAAAATAGGGATCGGTCGCGGCACTTTAGAAGAAGATACGCTAGTTATATATTTTTGTTAAGTGAAATTTGCCGCCATCTCGTAGATGAACTAGCCCCACACGATCTTCGAAAAACCTCAGTTCCTTTAATAGTGCTGGTGGCGTTAAACTTTTTTGAGTATGGCTCATACCAAAAATGTGTTGGCAACATCTTTCACTTGCCGATGAGTTAGACGCTTCTTTCCAGAAGTTTGCTTATTGTAAAGACGAAGGGAGGGAGAGAAATAAACTTTTCCAGTTCGGCAGAAGAAGAAACTAATGTAAAAACAGGGTATGTTAAAGCAAATAAAAAAAAACCACTTAGGCTAATTTATCTCACATGAACTCCAGTTTTTTTTAGAAAATTCGGAGGAGCAATTGACTGCACGCATATTGCTAGTGTTGCTCCATCATCGAATAATATTAAGCGTGCTCTTAATTTATATTTAAATAGAAAGGGGTTCTTTATTCTCAATGTCGAATCAGTAAGTTTTGCTGTATGTATGAGCTAATGCAGTTTGTATCTGTTTTGCTTCTCAGGTGTGCGTTTTTGTTTCACTTTTCTTAACCCAAAACTCCAGGAGCCAACTTATGACTCTGGAATTCGCTCAACTTGCGACCTACGGGAGCATCTCATTCGTTAGCAGACTGATGTGTGTGTACAACAGCAGAGAGAAACTTGCCATATTGGCGATCAAGGTTATCCTCTAGAACCGTGGCTTCTAACGCCAGTTGAAGAACCTAAATCCTCTAAAGTACTAAAGTACAGCAAACTAAATGGTTCTGCCAGCATACAGTATATATGTACCTGAAGGTGAAAGTCCTATATACAGAAATTTTTCATACATAATAATCACCTTTAATAATATAACTATATATATTTGTTTATTTGATTTTCCTTAAATCTAAAATAATTAATGTAAGCAAAAACAGCTGATTTCTCTATACATTTCAATGTTCACCACACGTGTGGGGAAAAGCACAATAAACTGAAGCTTTATATTTTATCAAGATTAACACGGAATACCAAATAAATTCTTTCTTGTTAAAAATCTTGATAAATCATCAATATTTTTGTTAATTTGTCAAGTGCACAGAATAGGGATATAAAGCTGAATTCTTGGTAATAACATTAAATTATAAGAACCACGGGTCTAAAACAAAACATCCTTAATTAGACTTTCAGTAGCGAAAAAGTAATTACTTTAGTTTACTGCAGCTGAGTGTATATATATTGAATTAGGGTGCGTCCGTGGACCCCAAGGACATATTATAGCCCTCTCCCTCTCTTTATGTTGCCCAACGAAACCGTTTCTGTAACTCCTTCTCCCGCGCATTAATATCTCTCTATTAAATATGAAAATGTTGTGTTGCTGCACTGCGGGTAGGACCAGAAAAAGGAACATCGCTTCCTGTGTGCCTCTAAGGACGCTCCAAACGAGTCGCCTAGTTAATTTAAAATTAAAAAAAAAAATACCTAAAAAAATCTTAATTGCACATTTCATAGCTCTAAGTCTGTATTTACCCCGCAATAATTTTAACACATAAATACGCACTTCACACTTACAAACATACAAACAAACATAAATAAATCTCACTTTAATTATCTAAAAAAAAGCAAAATTACAACCAAACCAACCCAACTCAGCAAGCCAACTATTAATTACGCAATATTTATCCACTTTTCAGCCTCTATGGCAAGACAGCAACAGCAACTACGGCAATACAGCAATAAAGTAACAACAAATTAAGCAGAAAAACGAAAGCGCAACGAAGTCTATTGACGTGGGCCACTAACGAAGCCCGACTAACCTGCGTGCAGCGCACACAGTCGGCAGCGGAAGTGGTTGAATAGGAAGCTAGTTTTTAATATACGCCCTCAAAGAGCAGGGAGATAAAGAAAGGAAAAAGTAGATAAACATATAAACTACAAGAGAATGCAGAATTTATTGCTTTATAGCGCAGCGAGTGCCGCCCTCGCAGCGGCTACACTAGCGCACAGCAGCGCGTTAAGCTACGACTCGAGCGCAACAGTTGTAGCAGCAGCAGCAGCAGCAGCAACAGCAGCAAGCGCCAACAATGACACATTGTCACTTTGGGAATTGACAACTCCCGCGACAAGAGCTACCGCAACCGCAGCGACAGCAGTTGGCATGAGAGCAACGAGTGGCGGCGGCGGCGGCCGAGGTTTCAGCTTAAAGAACAGCAGACTCGTGGATGAAGGTGGTGGTGGTGCTGGCATTTCAAGAGAGAGTGTTGCTGCTTTTGTAGACAATTTAATGCAAGCTCTCACCACTACCGCCAGCTATATAAGTTATAACGACAACAACAACAACAACATCAGCAGTAGTAGCAGCAGCAGCAGCAGCAGCAATATAAATGATATCAACAACAACAACTTTAGCTACGACAACAATCTCACCGTAACGGATACAGCAGCGGTCACCGAAATACCATTTGTACCATATGTCATGCGACCGGAAACGTATATTGTGCCAGTGCTGTTCGCGCTCATCTTCATCGTCGGCATGCTGGGCAATGGTACACTGATTGTCGTCTTTTTGGGCGTGCGACAAATGCGTAATGTGCCGAATACGTAAGTACATACATACATAGATACATATTTACATGAGTTTTTATGGTAGTGCGAGAAATTTGAGAGGTATCTGTGTATGTGTGGGAGTATGGGGGTATGGGAGTGTGGGAGGAGTAGCGTTTGGTCTACGGGGAGTTGCCTCAGCTTGTATAAGATTTAATGAACTTGAAAACAAGTCTCACTGTGTCCCGTAATATGCCTGAAATTATTAGCTCATCACTGCAGCTGGGGAGCTGTTACAGCACGTAGGCAAATACATCACCGTTAGTCGGTAGCACAGTGCGTATGAGTACTGTTTAATTCGATCGGAAAGAGATTTAAACAAAAATCGCATGCAGCCAGCAGGGAGACTGCGTAGAGTAGAGTAACGAAAAAAATTAGCTTTCTGCGTGAAATGAATATTAAACACATTCGCTTATATATAAAATTAAAAGCAACAAAAAAATTCTTCTTTCCTTACAAAGAGAGCTCCTAATTTCACCAATACGGGCAAGGGGGCCTCACCATTCCCACAGTTACGTGCTCAAAACACGAAAACAGCAAATGAGTCTGCTGGCAGCTTGGCAAATGGGGAAGGAGAAAAAACGTTCATTACAATATGGCAAGCATATAAAGCATTTTTTTACCGCTACATATTTGCATTTTATCTCCCACCTTTACTGCCATTCCTAAAGTCATTTTGTCAGCAGGTGTTATGTGTCATTGTTGTTGTATTTGGTTCATTTGTGTCCCATAATTGAATACGTTGGCGTGGTACAAACATTGTTGCTGTTTTTGTATGAGACCTTAAGCATGGCAATTAAAGTATATACATACATATGTACGTTTGTAGGTATGTATAATGCTTGTACTTTAAATTTAGACAAGACTTCAAGAAAAAAATTTAGGAAAATCACTACTATTATTTAAAGAGAAATGTAAAATAAGGTTCGATTAGGCGGCAAATAACTGAGTTAAAGTTTAGATACATAAATACCCACCTCAGGTTACTCACAGACGTTCGCACCGCTCACGCGATTATAGCCGTATCAATATTAGCGTGCCATTTCTTTTTTACTTTCGCTGTTTGCCGCCAATTGGAAATACCTAGTGATACCAGGTAACTCTCCACCTAATCTTTCCAACGCAGTAGAGGTATTTCTCTTATTCTACTTCCACCGACGAGTACTGCATCGCAAACTAACTAAGCTGAAGTGCTTTCATCCTTTCGTACAACATGACTTACCCAGCATAGCTGCTGTATCCCCTCATCAATATTTCGCCGGGTAGATGCGAGATTCATCGGAGTTGTTATCAAACTTTTCCTTTGAGCTGGTTTATACGTGGCAGAAACTCCTTAGGGTACATATTTATATAGCGAGCTGTCTGCTTCAATACCTGCTTCTTCAACGGAGTATGCCCACTGAAGTGTTCTCTCTATTAAGCAGTAGCCTTCACAGGGTTTGAGTACCGTAATATGCAAAAGGACTGCTCACGTTTCCAGAGTGTGCGAGGTGGGCACAAGAGTAGGAATTGAGTATAGCCCCGCGACTGCAGCTGCATTCGTATTCAAGTATTCGCGTCTTGGCTCTTACGTCACTGTGTTGCCAAGCATTATAACTAAAAACAATGTCAGGCTGGAAATCCAGCGCAGAATCCCTCTTGCCCACACGTGCAAGTAGAGAAAAAACTCTAAAAGTCGCCAGACCAACATTCAAAACTATAGAAAATTATTTTAAAAAAATATTTTTTCTTATCACGATCGCCTGATATTTCTAACATGAAATAAAATATTTCTGATAAAAATCCATCAGCCACTTGAAGGCGGCATAGATTGAACTGCAAGCGTCGATATTGGTTTGAAAATTATTAGGACGCTCACAAGAAATTGGAGAAGGAGGAGCTCAGCCGAGAATCGTTCAACGGTATTGAATAAAAAATATGAAAATATAAATGTTTAAACTATTTAAACGCAGCTATAGGGAAAATCGCTGACATCCATCTGCACTTTAGGGCAAGTGCTCATTGGAAAACAGTAAAATATTGTTTTTTTTTCTCATATCGGCCTTCTTTATTACCGGTTCTGCTTGACTGGCTTGCTGCGCCATCGGTGCGAGTTTGTACTGATTATCCTTTATCGAGTGCCAGCGATTGTTTGTCGCACTCCTCATCTTTACAATCACATTGGATTTTAGAGCGCACTCACAAACTCTCGCCTGTAAACAGTAAGAGAGCAGATCGGAATTATCTTTAACCTTGCGTTCTTTGAGAACGGCGTCTATCGGCCATTAGGAGGTGCGTTAGAATAATCTCCATTTTGTGGGGAAGAAAAATTAAGTTCAGTCCAAAAGCGATGTAATTATATGGAACGGCCTCAAGCAGGCAAAAAAACCTTAACTATAAGGAATAGACTGCAATGTCAGTTTTCACTACACAAGATGAACTAGGATACTGTTTTTTGTTATCAAGTTAAATACTTACGACCGACTCTTTCAGCCCTTCGGGAGGGGACAATTTACGCTCTGCATTAAGGCCACCTTCTGTCGTACTTTCCTTTCTTTTAATCAATTTTTTTATTCTCCGACGAAAATTTGAAGAGGCTAATGATGAAAAGTGTATCATTTACAACAACGTCAAATGAAAACTGTCAGGGTGTAACGGCGGTGAGCCGGCACAAATTTTCTCCAAGCGCGGGTTAACGGTCAGCAAGGTTTTGTTGTGTGTTTAGTGGGATTGACAAGGAATCGTCTACTATGAGCTGCCCTCATAGAGCCAAACTTTTAATTCGGACATCTCCTGTGAGAAACCATCTGAATGAGGTGGTCGCCCAAAAGTACCTAGCTTTAGCCAATAGGAAGCGAATCGGGTTTGATCAGGACAACGCCAGGCCACACACTACTTTTACTAATCCAATATTTTATTATAAGATATATATTATATGTTTGAATACATTTTACCGATGACAGCAGCTTCTGAATCATAGAAAAGTTTTACTTGTAATAAAATTTCATGCAAATCGATAGATTTAAAATATCGTATGATTTTTTGGAATAGATTGATTCAAAGTACACTTCGCGGAAAATCTTTTATTATCGGATGCCTTCGTCATGCGCAAACGACATACTCCAAGTTTCAACTCTCTGCGATCAGTGGACTAGCTGTGGGTTGTTCCGTCAATTATTCAGGGCAAGGGCTTTTATTCATAAGTATATACACGTAAATATATAGAAACAAAGAGTATGCATAAATAAACTATTTCAACATTATTCTCTCACTTCACTCTTTGAGATTGTTTGGTTGCCTCCAGCAAATCTCGTTTTATTCACTGTTGAAAATATTAAATCATAAATGAATGCAAGCAAATCAATATTAAGTGAGTTTCGAAGTCAGTACACCCACGCATACATATAATATATACATACATACATTTATGCGTATTCATATGTGCACTTAACCGACTCTGAATTAATATTTGCATTCACCTGCATATTGTTGCATCATCGAGAGTTGAATGGTCATTGAGTTGCATTGTTCGAGCGCTCTTATGAATACAACCGAATGCGAAGTAATCGACTCGAAGGTGCTTATATTGACTAATGTATTTAGTAGTAGATGGACCATAATGTACGTTTGCACTTACACATGTATGTGTGTATGTGTGTATGCACAATATGAATATGCAAATGTGAAATTCACAAACTGAGTGGATGACTTCTGCGTCAGAATAGTAAATCTTATTAATTCTGATTATTTGCTGTTTCTAAACTGATTAGTTATGCTATGATAATTAGCATGCAAAGTTATATAACACGAGTCCACTGGTTTTATATGTAGATAGAGAGAGAGAGAGAGAGAGAGAAAGAGAGAGAGAAAGGGAGAGATAGAAAGAGAGAGAGAGAGAAAAAGGGAGAGATAGAAAGAGAGAGAGAGAGAAAGAGTGAGAGAGAGAAAGAGCGAGAGAGAGAAAGAGTGAGAGAAAGGGAGATAGAAAGAGAGATAGAGAGAAAGAAAGAGAAAGAGAGAGAGAGAGGGAGTGGGAGAGAAGAGAGAGAAAGAAAGAGAAAGAGAGCGAGAGATAGGAATACCCATTTCAATCCGAATCTCTGTGAAAACTTAAACTGATATTCAATGATTCTTCATCTTTATTGGAGTAGACACCGCTTACACTATTAAATTCGAATGAATAGCGGTGACCCTTCTTTTCGCTGTTTGGCGCCAATTGGGAATACCAAGTGTAGCTAAGTCCTTCTCCGTCGAGCCTTCCAACGAAGGGAAGTCTTTCTTCCGCCCGCTTCCAACACCGGGCACTGCATCGAAAACTTCTAAGACTGGAGCTTTCCCATCCATTCGGACGACCTGACCAAGCCAATATAGCCACTGTTTCTTGATTCGCTTAACCATGTTAACGTCCTCGTTTATCTCGAGCAGCTCATGATTCCATCATCTACGGTATTCGTCATTGCCAACAGGGAAAACACCATAAATTGTTTACTGAACTTTTCTTTCGAATCTGATTCATCGGATGTTGACATTGTTAATTTAGCAGGACGAAAATGATGAAGGACTGAAACTTCCTCTCTTTTTGACGTGTTTCAAGTCTTCACACGCGTCGGTTACCGCTTCAAATGCAGGAGTTGAGTATGAAAGCCCAGCATCTGTAATTACATATCCAGCAGCGTGATTACAACCCGTAACACTAACTGACTAACACCCCTAACCTAATTAAGGCAAAAATCTTCATGTCGTGAAAAGCTCGGAATACTTTTTCAATAAAACATACTTTTGTATTCTGTGATTAACACATTAGCAAGGCAAGCCATGGCGTTAGCGGATCGGTAACCTTGACTGGAGTTGCAACAAATTAGACATTAGAGTTGCCTGTACGTTTAGGACGGTGTCGCGCGAAGCGGCCAACATCATATCCAGCATTAAGCCGAAAGTAAGGCTCTAACAGCTGACGAGCGTTAGAAAGAGAGACAGACGCAGACGAGCCTCGCCTAGTGGCCGAAATGGGACACGGC